GTTTGATTTTTCTTGTAAATCCTTTGGAAGGATGTTAAACATTTTAGGACCAAGTATACTAAGTGACATTTAAATCCGAACACCCAGTTTAAATGGTTTTATTTTAATAAAATTTTGTATAAGTACTTAATGAAGCATAATAAGTAAATGATAAAAATTTCAAAATGATTGCACTGCTTTAAAGCCCTTTGACCTTTAATAATGTGTGGATGCACCCTGATGCGCTACGCATTCTCCAACGCGCCTAGGCATGCTTCTGATCAGGTGGTCAATGTCCTCCTGTGGTATCTCATTCCAGGCAACCACCAACTCCTCTCGAAGTGCTTCTAGAGTCTGAGGAGGACGTTGCAAATTGAGCAATCTCCTACCCATCATATCCCACACGTGCTCAATTGGGGATAAGTCGGGAGATCTTGGTGGCCATGGTAACAATGTGACATCATTATGTTGAAAGAAGTCTATTGTGACTCTTGCAACATGTGGTCGGGCATTATGTTGTTGGAAAGTTGGATCTGAAAGGGTGTCAAGATAGGGTAAAAGATGGGGTTCTAGAACTTCGTGGATATAACGCTGCGCGTTCATGTTACCTCTGATGAAGATTAAAGGTGACCTGGAACCATAAGCTATAGCACCCCAAACCATAACTCCAACAGTGTGATGAACATGTCTTTCAACAAAAAACTGTGGATTCCTCCTTTCACCACGTCGCCTTCTAACCCAGGCACGACCATCGTGCATGCCTAAACAAAATCGAGACTCGTCACTAAAGACAATACTGTTCCATTCCTGATCTCAGAGTGACCGTTATCTGCACCACTCAAGGCGATTACGTCGGTGTTCTCGAGTTAAAGGGAGGACCCAGTGTGGCCGGTATTAAAACAAGCCAAAACTTCTCATGCGTCGGTAAACACTTCGCATGCCAATAGGTCTTCCGTGTTCTGCAAACCATTCATTTGCAATGGACCTAGTAGTGGAGAAACAGTCCCTTAAGGCCAATAATCTTAGGCGGCGATCTTCACGGTCTGTTGTTCTACGGCGGCGTCCAGTGCCCCTTAGTCTTTGCGTACGGCCTTCTCGAAGCCATGCCTGACAACACCTAACCACAGTGTCTACACTTCTTTGCACTCTAACTGCAATTGCCCGAAAAGAAAGTCCAGCTTCCCGAAGTACCACTATACGGCCCCTATCAAACTCACTAAGTTGACGAAATCGTACAGATCTCCGTACTCTAGGCATCGTAACCGATCGTAAAGGATGTCAAGAACCAAAATGATTCCTTACTGCGGCTGAAATATTCATTTTTAGAGCGTTAGTGAATTAAAAAAAAGCAGTACAAAAACCGGAATGTCCAACTGATAAGGCTGAAAATTTGTTCACTTGTTATTTACAGCAAGATAAATACATTCACCAACTTTTATTAAAATAAAACCATTTAAACTGGGTGTTCGGATTTATATGTCACTTAGTATAATTTTGATTTGACAATTTAGTATTTTAAATATCTTTATCAATAATTTTGATATTGAAACTATCTCAATCATCTCTTGATGCAATAAAACTTACCTGATTTATAATCTCTAGTTCTCTCTTCATCCTTCATAGTTACTCAGTTGGCTGAGTCTTTTCTTTTAAAAAGCTAATACATCGTATGATAGCAAATAGGTAACAGATACCTTATATCCTTTTCTGAAATCGTTACCATCGATAAATTAATATTTCGTCTTATCAACGGTTTTTGTTAGTCATCTCCAACCGCACTATATTCTCAAAAAGGTGAACTTTGTTATTATCGGAACGATCCGCCGTTTTTCAAAAAAATGTTATGAATCGGACGGACAGCAGGCATTTACGACAATCACAATTTACACCACTGGGCTCTGAAGAATCAATGATTCCTGTTTCTATACCAATTTGGAGTCAAGTCATCGGTTAGACTAGTGGATATTAAACTCATTGGCTCATTTGAATTCCGAGAATCACGATAACTCAAGAAACGTGCACAATCGTATAATGTATATGATTTTTTATGATTGGAAATGCTTCACCTATTATACCCGTTTGATCTGTGGCTTTTTAGACACCCTGTATCAGCAGCGCGATCGCGATGACATTTAAATTCACGCGTTGATTGTTTTTTGAAAAATGTTCAATTCCTTACCTTGCAAATCTCATCCGGGCAGATGTTACAATAATGGTGAATGCGCATACGGTTGACTACATATCGCATTTACCATTTATTAAAGTAACACCAATGTCCCATACATCATCAATACCTAAAAAGAATTGTGAAACATTTTTCATTGCGCATCTTTATCACGTAAAAAATTGCAGCTTAGTTGCGTAGCAACCGCTGATGTTAAACCCAAAACCTGTATTACGTCGCTTCAGTTGCAAATATACAGGGTGTCCCAATATTTCGTGGACAAAGAAGTATCACGTATTTTTAGACTCAAAATAAGTCGATTGGGCATGCTTAACCTGTCAAAGTGCTTCGTTTGTCCGCTAGAGGGCGTCAACATTTTCTTTTAAAAACAAACTTTTTTAGTTATTTTTGGAACCGATAGCCCGATTTGAATGAAATTTGAAACATCTACTTGCAAAAAAACGCGAGAGGATTCGAGAAGGCTGTAAACTACCCCCACTCCCACATGAGTTATAGCAGAACTTCTTCACAACTCTCCCAACGACCCTGAATTATTTTTTTAAAAGATCCTCTTATTTATTTAATGAAAGTAGATCATCTAAGATAGTTTTCGAGAGAAACTCTGGACCAATTAAAGGGCGAAATTCGCGTGGAAGTCGCCCAAGTTGAGAGAGCGATGTTGGAGAGAGTCTACGCGAACTTCCAAGAACGCCTCCAGCACTGCATCAACGATTTCGGCCACCACATGCCTGATGTGATTTTCCACACTTGACTGTCTCAAATGCTATTTCCTTGTGAACCTGATTCCATCAATAAATTTGTTTTCGAGTAAAAATTAACTATTTTATGATTTTTTTAAAACCGTCCATCCTCTCTGCCGCACCCTGTATAGGGAGTATTAAAAACAAAGGTGTACGGCCAATCAACTATATGACAGTATCCAAAATTCTGCTAATATATTAAATAATAATGACATCATAGAAAAAGTTGAGTATAATTTTTTGGTCCGTATTGTTATGTGCAAGAACTGAAATGGTGGTACTAAATGAAATTCTAATAAGTAATATCAGACACGGTTATTTTTGCACACTTAAACAATTAATAAGACGCTTGGGATCCTGTTGATGTAACTCATTTTTTTCTCGAAAACGAGATATTTTTCACCATTCTCAAACCCTTTGGAGTTTTTCATAAAAATCAAATATTAGAGCGTCTAGCAAAACATATACTAAGTGACATATAAATCGGAACACCCAGTTTAAATGGTTTTATTTTAATAAAAGTTGGTGAATGTATTTATCTTACTGTAAATAACACGTGAAAAAATTTTCAGCCTTATCAGTTGGACATTCCGGTTTTTATACTGCTTTTTTTTAATTCACTAACGCTCTAAAAATGAATATTTCAGCCGCAGTAAAGAACCAACGTTGGCGGATTTTGGTTCTTGACATCCTTTACGATCGGTTACAATGCCTAGAGTACGGAGACCTGAACGATTTCGTCAACTTAGTGAGCTTGATAGGGGCCGTATAGTGGGACTTCGGGAAGCTGGACCTCCTTTTCGGGCAATTGCAGTTAGAGTGCAAAGAAGTGTAGACACTGTGGTTAGGTGTTGACAGGCATGGCTTCGAGAAGGCCGTACGCAAAGAGCAAGGGGCACTGGACGCCGCCGTAGAACAACAGACCTAAGATTATTGGCATTGAGGGACCGTTTCTTCACTACCAGGTCCATTGCAAATGAATGGTTTGCAGAACACGGAAGAACTATTGGCATGCGAAGTGTTTACCGACGAATGAGAAGTTTTGGCTTGTTTTCATACCGGCCACACTGGGCCCTCCCTTCAACTCGAGAACACCGACGTAATCGCCTTGAGTGGTACAGACAACGGTCACTCTGGGATCAGGAATGGAACAGTATTGTCTTTAGTGACGAGTCTTGATTTTGTTTAGGCATGCACGATGGTCGTGCCAGGGTTAGAAGGCGACGTGGTGAAAGGAGGAATCCACAGTTTTTTGTTGAAAGACATGTTCATCACACTGTTGGAGTTATGGTTTGGGGTGCTATAGCTTATGGTTCCAGGTCACCTTTAATCTTCATCAGAGGTAACATGAACGCGCAGCGTTATATCCACGAAGTTCTAGAACCCCATCTTTTACCCTATCTTGACACCCTGGCAGATCCAACTTTCCAACAAGATAATGCCCGACCACATGTTGCAAGAGTCACAATAGACTTCTTTCAACATAATGATGTCACATTGTTACCATGGCCACCAAGATCTCCCGACTTATCCCCAATTGAGCACGTGTGGGATATGATGTGTAGGAGATTGCTCAATTTGCAACGTCCTCCTCAGACTCTAGAAGCACTTCGAGAGGAGTTGGTGGTTGCCTGGAATGAGATACCACAGGAGGACATTGACCACCTGATCAGAAGCATGCCTAGGCGCGTTGGAGAATGCGTAGCACATCAGGGTGCATCCACAGATTATTAAAGGTGAAAGGGCTTTAAAGCAGTGCAATCATTTTGAAATTTTTATCATTTACTTATTATGCTTCATTAAGTACTTATACAAAATTTTATTAAAATAAAACCATTTAAACTGGGTGTTCGGATTTATATGTCACTTAGTATATATGTTCCAAATTTGATTCACATCGGACTAACGGTTATAGATCTCAAAAAATGTGTTTTTAAGACAAAAATTCGACGCCCTTTAACGCACGAACGACGCACTTTTGCATGCTGTATGCTGTGTTCAACTATGGTAGTGACGCACCAGAAGGAATATTTTAATAACGCTGTTTGAGTAAATAGTAAACGATATTACATCTACTACTGAAGAACTGCACTCACCATTCTAGCATCAGTCATGTGTTCCGAGTACAAATCCTTGATGAGCATATCCAAAGTTCTTTGTCGTTTCCTAGCAAACGTTGGAGTTTCAAAAGCCGCCTTCTCTCCATTGATTAGCTGAAAGGCAATAAAAAACTAAGTAATCGAGGAAACCATATGCTTCATTACACAAATGCTACACAGTATTATTTTCAAGCCCCCTAAGGTTATTGAAGGGTCATTGCTTCTCATCCCCACAAGAGGAAAGCAGTTACCACCCTGATGTCATGTCTAATACGTGAACGCAATCTTAACTTCTCATCCTTTCTAGTTCATCTTAGAGGACTAGGTTGCAAGGTAGGACAGACTCGCAATCGACCTTAGATATAGAAAAAAGTAGCAATCAAATAAGTAGTCCCATAAAAAGAAAAAAATATGCAATTTCCCTTATGTTACCTGAGAAGAGTGAAATTAAACCTTGGAGATTTTCAGCATAATATATTAATGTAGTAACAATGTCATCCTCAGTATTGATTTACATACTATTATGAGAGGCAACATCTGCTGATGAAATAATTGAAGACAAACAGCCCCAATAAAATGTGTAAAGTCAATTTTCTACATACAATGATTTTGTTACACGACACCTTTATTCACTTGTATCTTCAATGATAAACCTTAACGCTAAACTTTATGACTTTTCAATTATCAGAGTGATATTAGCCATAGCCACAAATTTTAACAATCAATTAGAAAACGACTTCGGCAAACTAGAATATGTAATTAGTACAGTACTGCTAATATTAAGATAAGTAAATTTAGAAGATGCTCCTTAGTAAGATAAGACGCGAACTACCCTCAAGACATGACCACACTTGAAGCAGCTATGAAAATATAAAGAACTGGACTGTAAAGTTTATCTACTCGGCACCAATGTACTGGTAGGAATCAAATCTGATTCGCGAATCTTCAGGATCTCTATACTACGATTTTTCATATGAACGCATGCGCATCAGCGAGCATGTTTAGTAGACATTGAGAGACAAGAAAAATGAGCGCCAGTGGGGTTCGAACCCGCATCTTCTTCAGTCAGTGGAGACGATCTAACAAATTAGTTTACAGCACCAGCTTTCGGATAGACTGTTAGAGTCAAATTCAATACTAACGATGCAATTGCTCCTCTCCTCATGTCAAGCTGCCTTGGTGCCGCATAGGGCGGTATTCATAGTATCTCTTCCTAGTTGCATCACGCCGCCTCCTGGGTACGTACCACGGTACCACCGTGCAAGGACGGTAACCTGTATACGGTTTTTTGGATGAAGGCATCCGCAACAGCGAATAGCATCTCTCTAGTTGTTGTTGACTAAACATACTCGCAGTTGCGGATACTTAAGGGTAATAAGCTCTTTGAACTGTTGTTTACACTTTTCGCTCCGATTGCAAAATCGAGAGATCACACGACTTCGGTTCCAAGGCTAGCAATTAAAATAATTGTCACATAAGCACCTTTATGGTTTATAGGATTGCGTCTAATGTGGGCAGACTCAAATTTGATTTACACTATAGCTACAGTAATGAACAAAAGTATATAGACAAATTAATATTGTGCTGTATTTCTTTTTTAACTTGTTTTATTAATACACCAACCTGTATACATAATTCGTTCTAGCACATTACTCACTTATACATAAATAAATTCATTGGACTCCCTTCACCAAAAAATTAATTTAAAAAAACTGGAACTATGAAGGACAAAAATATATAGACAAAGCAAAACGATTATAGAAAAAAGAAGCAAAGTTCATTGAATTATAGAAAACCAACCCAGTTTGTGTTAATATTTTGTAGGATAACCATTATTATCAATCACCGCCTGGCATCGTCTCGGATAGATTGTAGAAGTTTCTTGATATAAGATTCATCAATCTGTCTCCACCTTTGCTCTAAAGCGGTAAAAAGTTCATCCTTGTTTGAATAATTTTTATCTCGTATTTGCTTATCTAAGTATTTCCATCCATTTTCAATGGGGTTTATATCGGGAGACTGTGAAGACCATTTGAGAACTGGTATTTTTTCATCCAGAAAGAATTTCTTTGCGAGATTTGCAAGTGTGCTTCGGGTCATTATCTTGCTGGAAGATTGAACTTAAGGCCATATTGTCTTCGATATAGGGTAACAAGACAAGCTTTAGTATGTATGTGCATACAAACTTATCTATTATGCCATCTATTCTATGTAAAAGTCCCATGCCAAACCCCGAAAAACACCCCCAAACCATAAGAGACCCGCCTCCATGTTTGACAGTGGGCAAAGTGTACTTGCGGTTCAATCTTTGTCCACTAGGACGTCTAACGTAATGAACACCATCTGATCCAAACATATTGAACTTGGATTCGTCACTAAAACATACACTCTTCCAGTCACAGATGCTCCAATCAAGATGCAACCGTTCAAATTGTAATCGGTCCTTACGGTTTTTCCTCGAGATTAGCGGCTTCTTACTCGGGCCACGTGCAAATAAATTCAAATCATTCAATCTTCTACTTATAGTTTTCGTAGAAACACTGACAATTCCTTTTGTCTCGATTTCGGCTTTTATTTGTCTTGGGGTTTTAAACGGATCTTTGGACGAAATTACTTTTATTAATCTAACTGAACTAGCATTTAGTTTTCTAGGCCGACCACTTGTCTTAGAGGCTTCCAAGATACCTTTTAGTTTATATTTGTTCAATATTGCCCAAACTGCTTTACGCTTCAGCTTCAAATTTTTTGCAATGTCGACTTGACGTTGACCACCTTTGTATAACTCAAGGATATTCGTCTTCATATCGAAATAAATTTCTGGACCACGCGGCATTGTCTTAAAATCACTTAACTTATTCCACAATACTTGATGAACACAATCGGCTTCTGACACGAAACTGTACTAAACTAACGTTGAAAAGAATTTGTCTACATATTTTTCTCCCTCATAAAAAAGTGCTTATTGCAGATAATGTGAAAACAAGGAATTTAGTTTTTCTACTAATAACGCATTTGTTTATGGAGCAATTAATTATTAATTCGTTTTCTAAAGGTATTTAGGTTAATATTCATATTTGTCTATACTGTCCATTACTGTATCTCTCGTGTGAGCATGGCTCATTCTGAAATGCGTACTTAGATCAGAGTCTTTGTCTTAAATTTGTACTGATTACAGAAAATACAGGTCTATAAGCTTTTACCTAGTATTAAATATGGTCAGAGTAGCAAAAGCTACGTAGACTATACTATAACTATCTAAAACTGTAATGACTCATCGATGTTCACGTGAACATCCCTTAACTACCAGTAGTCGGCTGTTCATAGGAGGGGTATGAATGTTTAACATGGGTGAACTAGATTTGTCACATGCTTAATAAAGAGTGGTTTGAAACATATTGTAAGTCAAAAATTTGGGAATTACCTTTATTCATCGTCGCTTCCACTTACATCTGACAGTAATAAACTGTCGCTATCGCTTTCCTCGTTGAAACTGACTATAACTGGCCCTATGATGGTGTCGATGTGGTGGTCAAGCTGCCACATTTTTGTTTCTTCCTTCACAACATGACGGATAGCATTCTGCCAAGCTTCGGGCGTTACTAGCTGTATGGAAGTCTCAAGTAAAACCTTAACGTCTGGTAATTTGAAGGTTGTGCTATGGCGCGCAATATAACCCTTCACTTGAGCCCAGATGAGCTCTATTGGGTTCAGTTCACAGTGGTAGGGCGATAACCGCAGCACAGTGACACCACATTGACGGGCCATCTCATCAGTCACGTAACTAATGTTCGCAGGTTTGTGCAGTTTAATTTTTTCATACAATTCCGATTTCACACATGAATCGTCAAACGGGATTCCTTTTTCGCGCAACCATTGCTGCATGTCACTTTTTCGAGATCCCATAGTCGGTACACGTTCGGCTCGACGACTATGGTAGGAAGCATTATCCATGACGATCACAGAGTTGGGCTCAACTCGCTGAAGCACCCCTTGAAACCAGCTCTCGAAGCAGCTGGCATTCATTTCGTCATGGTAATCACCTCCTTTCTTACAGATGAAAATCAAGTCACACTCTTCTAAAAAGCCACTATCGCTACCAATATGAGTTACGACCAATCTTTGACCTTGCCCTGACGGTAAACGAAGACCTGTTGCCAAACCTTCAATGCTTGCTTGTCGGTTACTCACTACGTTTTTGTCTATCCAGGTTTTTTTAACTGTGTGACCTGCATTTACCCATGTCTCGTCCAAATAATAGATTTTTCTGCTTTGTCGCCTATATTCAATCATTTCGCGTAGGTATTTTCGACGCCAGGCGACTATTTCAGGTCTCTCTATCAATACTGACTTCCGATTACGCGTTTCGTAACGAAAATTAATTTCGTACAGGGATTTCCTCATTACCTCGACGCTCATTTGGAGTATAATTTCATTTTCCTTGATCGCTGCATGTACAGCCTTGAGGGTTGGTATCTCATTCCTAAAGAAGAATGAATATACGGTTCGCCTTAACGCCATTTTGCTATCGTCATCCAATTTAACGGCCTTTCGTCCCTTCAAATTAAACTTTGGATCAGTAGTAGCTCCAGTTTTCTTCTTTTCATACACCACCCTGCGAATGGTCCACTCTGGAACGCCTGTCATACTTTCACAACGCGCGAGGGCATCTCCCTGCGACGTAGTTCTGTTCAGATAATTGAACACGTTGAGCACGATTTCTTTCGCGTCCCTCTTCAGTGCTTTACGAAGCCGTCTACTTGTTCCCTGGTTTTCAGTACTTCCACTCGTGCCATTTGTACTCTCCATGGTTAAGTATAACCAAAACAGTAACCACAGAAACCACAACAATAACAATCACACAACAATTCTTATAAAAACGCACAATATGCGATCGCTCAACGAAACACGTCCCAATGCGTTGCCGACGCCTATGAGTCTGCCGGTCGAGGCGCGTCTTTGATTTCATTGGTTCTACCGGCGGAGAACAATCAGCCATTATTTCCATCTCTGTCTGTGCTGTTGACCACCGCAAAGCCACAGAAACGACATATGTCGTACGCTATACGGCTGTACTGGAAGGAAGCCGGGATCGAGCTCTGATACGTGTTGATCACGCGTATGAGTCATTCCAGTTTTAAATGGTTGTAGTATAGTATGCATATACCTCGAGTGAAGCTCAATTACATGGTGTTTATGGCGGTAGATGGAGTGAAACTTGACATCTTTTAAACCTACAATAATAGCTGTACGTCTTACCTTGACAAGAAGGAACTCCCGGAACAGCCTAGCGTCATCAAAAACAGGAGGACAAGGTAACCCTGGTCCAAAAAGTGGTACAGCTTCATCAGAAAATACTGAAAGTCTATAGCTGCGATCTCCGTCATATGTGATCACAGCAAAAATATCTATTTGTGAGTATATTAAGGAAAAAATATGCATATTGTGATCTGAATATTATTAAAATGATTATATCGAGAGATGTAGCGGCAATACGAGTAATGTCTCTAGTTTTGAGACAGCTAAGGCTTAATAAAGCATCGGTATGTTATCGACGGATCTCCAGTATATTTACTGGAGGTCCGCCATTCGCAAAACTTAGGCACCCACGAAAAATTGAATAGGCTTATGAGACTTTTACTGGAATGCGTTTAAAAAATTGTAGATCTCAAGGTGTGGGATGTTGGATTTTTAATTGTTCTTATTAAATTTTATTTTATTCAGCTATACAGGGTGTCCCAGAAGTCGACGTCAAGCCGAAACCGGGTGATAGGCAAAGTCATACCAGCTATCAGAAAAATATTTAAAAAATTTTTATGTATGTGTTTTGAAAATTATAGGTCTTTGAAAAAAATATAGAAATTTCACACCCTACGGCAGTCTGTCAACTCCTGTTACTACAAATATCAACTTTTTTTGGATTTTATTTTTACAATGTAATGATGAATAATGCATCTTCAAACTGGTGTCTCAACCTTACTGCCAACTTTTCTCATTCAGGAAAAATTGCCACTTATTTCCCAACCAAGTATTCCAAAGTAAAACTTTGCTCAACTTTAACTGGCTGTACTGGAAAAAATGTACTACGAGAGTTTGGCAAGTAACCTTAAAAGTTGGCGCATTTAATAAGGATTCCAAAATGGTATAACACTTAGAAGATTACTCGTTAACTTATGCACAATTTTTATTTGAAGAAAAACTGATGAAAATTTTTCAAAATTTCCTAATTAAACAGCGATTATGAAAACGCACAAGGGCCCTTAAGGATAACTGTTTACACAACAGTGGGCGTCAATATGCTGCTGATGATGATTTGCCTTTACAGCTAATGCTCAAACTGTTTTCCTTCAGCCGCAATACACGCTCGACATCTTCTTAAAAAAGATCGGGTTATTAAACGAGCGAATCCACGGTTATTAACAAACTCAGCGGCTTCCAATAGTCTTTGCCGTAGCTCAGCTACATTTTGAATCGGCTTGAAATACACTTTTTCTTTTACAGTTCCCCAGTAAAAAAAATCTAACGGATTCAAATCAGGTGATCGGGCTGGCCACGGTATTGTACCAGACCGCCCTATCCATCTGCCTGGAAAGTTTTGATCTAGATACTCTCTCACTGAGAGTGCATAGTGCGCTGGGCAGCCATCATGCTGAAACCACATGTCCCTGTAAATACTCAGTGGCACGTCCTCTAATAAATTTTCTAAATGGTTTTGCAAAAAACCTAAATAAACCTCAGCAGTCAAAGTCTCTGGGAACTCAAACGGACCGATTATTTTACCATTTAAAATTCCTGTCCAATGGTTTATCTTGAAGCGATATTGAGATTTATCTTCTCTCATCAAATGTGGGTTTGCTACGTGCCACTCGTGTAAGTTATGCAGGTTCATGTACCCATCTTTCTTAAATGTGGTCTCATCTGACCATAAAATTTTTTCAAAGAACGGTGGATCTTCCCTGTGTCTTTCTAACATTGTGCGACAAAAAGCAACTCGGGGTTCATAATCCCGGGGCAGGAGAGCTTGAACACGCTGTACGTGGTATGGATGGAGCACGTTTTTTTGCAAGATTCTATGGGCTGTGGTTTTTAGTTCTATTGCTCGCACTGAAGTACTCGGGTCTTCTTCGACAGCTCCTAGCACCACGTCTTCGTAAGGAAGGAAAGATCTTCCCTCACCGTGTGATTGGTTTGGTAGTAGACCCTCTGAGAACAGTAAGCGGTGCACATTTGTGAACACTCGATGATCTGGATGACGAGCTGCATTCGGGTACCTCTCACAGTAAAGTCTCGCTGCGGCTAGCGTTGCATGTGCATTCCCCATAAATGAGGTGCATGTTAGCATATTCTTGTACGGTGTACACGGACATAGCGGCACTGCACAATCACACTATCAAAAATAGTATAAGGAAAGCAATTGTTGTTTTGAAGAGCAATTAAACAGTTCAAATCCAAATCACAAGCGATCAACAGTCCAGTTCACGAATCCAAAATTAGTAACAGAACAAAATCAACAAGCACGAACATGTAAAGATGCGCAGTAAACGAAGTAGTACTCATCGGTATCAAAGTGTGCAATAGCAAGTAAGTGATGTGCTTCATCCGTACCACATACAGCGTGTTCAACCTCTCCTGCCCCGGGATTATGAGCCCCGAGTTGCTTTTTGTCGCACAATGTTAGAAAGGTACAGGAAAGATCCACAGTTCTTTGAAAAAGTTTTATGGCCGGATGAGACCACATTTAAGAAAGATGGGTACCTACATGAACCTGCATAACCTACACGAGTGGCACGTAGCAAACCCACATTTGACGAGAGAAGATATATCTCAATATCGCTCCAAGATAAACCATTGGACAGGAATTTTAAATGGTAAAATAATCGGTCCGTTTGAGTTCCCAGAGACTTTGACTGCTGAAGTTTATTTGGATTTTTTGAAAAATCATGTACAAAATTTATTGGTGGACGTGCCACTGAGTATTTACAGGGACATGTGGTTTCAGCATGATTGCTGCCCAGCGCACTATGCACTCTCAGTGAGAGAGTATCTCGATCAAAACTTTCCAGGCAGATGGATAAGCCGGTCTGGTACAATACCGTGGCCAGCCCGATCACCTGATTTGAATCCTTTAGATTTTTTTACTGGGGAACTGTAAAAGAAAAAGTGTGTTTCAAGCCGATTCAAAATGTAGCTGAGCTACGGCAAAGACTATTGGAAGCAGCTGAGTTTGTTAATAACCGTGGATTCGCTCGTTTAATAACCCGATCTTTTTTAAGAAGATGTCGAGCGTGTCTTCCGGCTGAAGGAAAACAGTTTGAGCATTTGCTGTAAAGGTAAATCATCATCAGCAGCATTTTGACGCCCACTGTTGTGCAAACAGTTATCCTTAAGGGTCCTTGTGCGTTTTCATAATCGCTGTTTAATTAGGAAATTTTGAAAAATTTTCATCAGTTTTTTTTCAAATAAAAATTGTGCATAAGTTAACGAGTAATCTTCTAAGTGTTATACCATTTTGGAATCGTTATTAAATGCGCCAACTTTTAAGGTTACTTGCCAAACTCTCGTAGCACATTTTTTTCCAGTACAGCCAGTTAAAGTTGAGCAAAGTTTTACTTTGGAATACTTGGTTGGGAAATAAGTGGCAATTTTTCCTGAACGAGAAAAGTTGGCAGTAAGGTTGAGACACCAGTTTGAAGATGCATTATTCATCATTACATTGTGAAAATGAAATCCAAGAAAAGTTAATATTTGTAGTAACAGGAGTTGACAGACTGCCGTAGGGTGTGAAATTTCTATATCTTCTTTAAAGACCTATAATTTTCAAAACACATACATAAAATTTTTTTAAATATTTTTCTGATAGCTGTTATGACTTTGCCTATCACCCGGTTTCGGCTTGACGTCGACTTCTGGGACACCCTGTATAATATACCAGCTAGCAGACCTACTCCACATGAGTATAAAGTTTTATGTATTTTACATTTTCTGCTGAGATACAGTATGCTTAAGATCAAGAGTTTTAATTTTTACACGCCACTGGTTTCTTTGTTGGTGTGGTCAGGGACTTTCAGAGAAAAAATATATTCTCCTGCTTGTAGTATGCAGCTAGAAAATTTCACAAAATAATTGAACTCCTACTAAACAGAATTGTGGGAATATCCATGGAACGTTATAGATTTATTCATTGAGAAATGTACTGTACAAATACTAGGATGTTTTTGACTTAAAATATGTGAATTCCACACTTTCTTTATAAGTCTCAATAGATGATTCTTGAGCGAGCTAGGAATATTTTATACCTTCCAGTTTATTTGTGTGGGTTCTACAGGGTGGTCAATATGTAATTGACTAATTTAAATTGAGCGCCATTTTAATACATGCATTAAAGTAGTATGGAGCGCTACAAGATCCCACAACGCGTCCGTATTGTCGCGAATTTAATGACTTGCCAGGGTCGGGCCGTGTTCGAACTGTTCGTATTCCGAAAAGTATCGAGAGAGTTCGTGAAAGTGTAGTGGAGCGCCCTGAAACCTCTACCAGACATCGTTTCCAAATTCACTTAACCAAAGAACTACAGCCTAGTGACCATGTAAGGCGCCGACAATATAGTCATGCAATATTGCGGCTTAATATTCAAAATAGCGATTTTGTTATGGAGGTGTCATTGGACCTTAATTCTTTGAAGACGCCGCAAGTAATTCCGTTACCGTAATATGCTGCAAAAGTTTCTGGCTCCTCAAATCTAACAATTTAACCTGCAAAACATGTGGTTCCAGCAGGAAGAAGCAACTTGTCACACACCAAGGTCACCGGATTTAACGGCTCGTGACCTTTTTGTATGGGGATTTTTGAAAAATAGGGTTTATGTCAACAGACCAAATACTGTGCTTTTACGTAATTTATGACACAACATTTCCTCATGTACCTACCAAGTTAGACGGAAATCAATGGTAACACCCCACAACTTGACAGAAAAAGATGCTTCAGTTGATGAAACGTTATAAAAAATACTGAAATTCCGGTTATCAGTAGAAATTTCATCAATTGAGTCTTATATGTATTTAATACAAAGCCATTACTTACCGAACGTTTTGAGAGACTGTGCATACTTCTTCACTATTATCAGAAAGTTCAGTGTTACTACATAAAATGCTAGTATCATCCGCATATGATAAAATTTTACAATTTGAAATTGCAAAACTTTGTGGCCCCTCAAATCCAACAATTTAACCTGCAAAACATGTGGTTCCAGCAGGACTGAGCAACTTGTCACACAGCTAGGGAAGCAATGAACCTTTTGCGAAGTTTCAATGGAATATTGAGATGCAAAAAATTGACGTATAGTCAACGCCAAACAAAGTGGCGTGCACGTCATCACGAAAAAAATTCCCCGACCT